GGGGCAGTGAGGCAAGAGTCCCGAGGCCAGACCTGCAGACGCTTGCTTCCCGGGAAAAAAGAGGCAGGTCTTGAGGCCTGTGTCCAAATCAACTGTCTCTCCATCCTGCCTCCCACTTCCAAGCCACGATTATAAACTATGTTTAAAACGGACCAGGTCTCTGAAGAAAGTCCATGGTATTTTGATAGGGATTTCATTAAATGTGTAAATTGCCCTGGGTAACATTGACATTTCACAATGTTAATTCTTCCAATCCGTGAGCATGGAATATTTTTCCATCTCTTTGTGTCTTCCTCAATGTCTTTCAGAAGTGTTCTGTAGTTTTTAGGGTATAGATCCTTTACCTCTTTGGTTAGGTTTATTCCTAGGTATCTTATGCTTTTGGGTGCAATTGTAAATGGGATTGACTCCTTAATTTATCTTTCTTCAGTCTCATTGTTAGTGTATAGAAATGCCACTGACTTCTGGGCATCGATTTTGTATCCTGCCACACTGCCAAATTGTTGTATGAGTTCTAGCAATCTTGGGGTGGAGGCTTTTGGGTTTTCTGTGTAGAGTATCATGTCATCGGCGAAGGAGAGTTTGACTTCTTCTTTGCCAATGTGAATGCCTTTTATTTCTTTTTGTTGCCTGATTGCTGAGGCTAGGACTTCTAGTACTATGTTGAATAGCAGTGGTGAGAGTGGACATCCCTGTCTTGTTCCTGATCTTAGGGGAAAGGCTCCCAGTGCTTCCCCACTGAGAATGATATTTGCTGTGGGCTTTTCGTAGATGGCTTTTAAGATGCTGAGGAATGTCCCCTCTATCCCTACACTCTGAAGAGTTTTGATCAGGAATGGATGCTGTATTTTGTCAAATGTTTTCTCTGCATCTATTGAGAGGATCATATGGTTCTTGTTTTTTCTCTTGCTGATATGATGAATCTCATTGATTGTTTTACGAGTGTTGAACCAGTCTTGCATCCCGGGGATAAATCCTACTTGGTCATGATAAATAATCTTCTTAATGTATTTTTGTATCCTATTGGCTAGTATCTTGTTGAGAATTTTTGCATCCATGTTCATCAGGGATATTGGTCTATACTTCTCCTTTTTGGTGGGGTCTTTGTCTGGTTTTGGAATTAAGGTGATGCTGGCCTCATAGAACGAGTTTGGAAGTACTCCATCTCTTTCTATCTTTCTGAATAGCTTTAGTAGAATAGGTATGGTTTCTTCTTTAAATGTTTGATAGAATTCCCCAGGGAAGCCATCTGGCCCTGGACTTTTGTGTCTTGGGAGGTTTTTGATGACTGCTTCAATTTCCTCCCTGGTTATTGGCCTGTTCAGGTTTTCTATTTCTTCCAGTTCCAGTTTTGGTAGTTTATGGTTTTCCAGAAATGCATCCATTTCTTCTAGATTGCCTAATTTATTGGCATATAGCTGTTCATAATATGTTTTTAAAATCGTTTGTATTTCCTTGGTGTTGGTAGTGATCTCTCCTTTCTCATTCATGATTTTATTAATTTGAGTCTTCTCTCTCTTCCTTTTAATAAGGCTGGCTAATGGTTTGTCTATCTTATTAATTCTTTCAAAGAACCAACTCCTGGTTTTTGTTGACCTGTTCCACAGTTCTTCTGGTCTCTATTTCATTGAGTTCTGCTCAAATCTGTATTAACTCTTCTCTGCTGGGTGTAGGATCTATTTGCTGTTTTTTCTCTAGCTCCTTTAGGTGTAAGGTTAGCTTTTGTATTTGAGTTCTTTCCAGTTTTTGGATGACTGCTTGTATTTCGATGTATTTCCCCCTCAGGACTGCTTTTGCTGTATCCCAAAGATTTTAAACGGTTGTATCTTCATTCTCATTAGTTTCCATGAATCTTTTTAATTCTTCCTTAATTTCCTGGTTGACCCTTTCATCTTTTAGCAGGATGGTCCTTAACCTCCACGTGTTTGAAATCCTTCCAAACTTCTTCTTGTGATTTAGTTCTAATTTCAAGGCATTATGGTCTGAGAATATGCAGGGGACGATCCCAATCTTTTGGTATCAGTTAAGACCTGATTTGTGACCCAGTATGTGGTCTAGTCTGGAGAAAGTTCCATGTGCACTTGAGAAGAATGTGTATTCAGTTGCGTTTGGATGTAAAGTTCTGTAGATATCTGTGAAATCCATCTGGTCCAGTGTATCACTTAAAGCTCTTGTTTCTTTGGAGATGTTGTGCTAGAAGACTTATCGAGTGTAGAAAGTGCTACAATGAAGTCACCAAGTATAAGTGTATTATTATCTAAGTATGTCTTAACTTTGCTTATTAATTGATTGATATATTTGGCAGCTCCCACGTTTGGGGCATATATATATTGATGATTGTTAAGTCCTCTTATTGGATAGGATAGATCCTTTAAGTATGATATAGTGTCCCTCTTCATCTCTCACTTCAGTCTTCAGGATAAACTTTATCTGATATAAGGATGGCTACCCCTGCTTTCTTTTGAGGACCATTTCAATGGTAAATGGTTTCTTCAGAGAGTTGGAACAAATTATTTTAAGATTTGTGTGGAATCAGAAAAGACCCCCGAATAGCCAGGGGAATATTAAAAAAGAAAACCATAGCTGGGGGCATCACAATGCCAGATTTCAGGTTGTACTACAAAGCTGTGGTCATCAAGACAGTGTGGTACTGGCACAAAAACAGACACATAGATCAATGGAACAGAATAGAGAACCCAGAAATGGGCTGTCAACTCTATGGTCAACTAATATTCGACAAAGCAGGAAAGACTATCCACTGGAACAAGGACAGTCTCTTTTTTTTTTTTTTTTTTTTTTTTTTTTATTTACGATAGTCATACAGAGAGAGAGAGAGAGAGGCAGAGACACAGGCAGAGGGAGAAGCAGGCTCCATGCACCAGGAGCCTGACGTGGGATTCGATCCCGGGTCTCCAGGATCGCGCCCTGGGCCAAAGGCAGGCGCCAAACCACTGCGCCACCCAGGGATCCCAAGGACAGTCTCTTTAATAAATGGTGCTGGGAAAATTTGACATCCACATGCAGAAGAATGAAACTAGACCACTCTCTTGCACCATACACAAAGATAAACTCAAAATGGATGAAAGATCTAAATGTGAGACAAGATTCCATCAAAATCCTAGAGGAGAACACAGGCAACACCCTTTTTGAAATTGGCCACAGTAACTTCTTGCAAGATACATCCATGAAGGCAAGAGAAACAAAAGCAAAAATGAACTATTGGGACTTCATCAAGATAAGAAGCTTTTGCACAGCAAAGGATACAGTCCACAAAACTAAAAGACAACCTCCAGAATGGGAGAAGATATTTGCAAATGACATATCAGATAAAGGACTAGTATCCAAGATCTATAAAGAACTTATTAAACTCAACAGCAAAGAAACAAACAATCCAATCATGAAATGGTCAAAAGACATGAAGAGAAATCTCACAGAGGAAGACATAGACATGGCCAACAAGCACATGAGAAAATGCTCCGCATCACTGGCCATCAGGGAAATACAAATCAAAACCACAATGAGATATCACCTCACACCAGTGAGAATGGGGAAAATTAACAAGGCAGGAAACAACAAATGTTGGAGAGGATGCGGAGAAAAGGGAACCCTCTTACACTGTTGGTGGGAATGTGACCTGGTGCAGCCACTCTGGAAAACTGTGTGGAGGTTCCTCAAATAGTTAAAAATAGACCTGCCCTATGACCCAGCAATTGCTCTGCTGGGGATTTACCCCAAAGATTCAGATGCAATGAAACGCCGGGACACCTGCACCCCGATGTTTCTAGCAGCCATGTCCACAATAGCCAGACTGTGGAAGGAGCCTCGGTGTCCATCGAAAGATGAATGGATAAAGAAGATGTGGTCTATGTATACAATGGAATATTCCTCAGCCGTTAGAAACGACAAATACCCACCATTTGCTTGGACATGGATGGACCTGGAGGGTATTATGCTGAGTGAAATAAGTCAATAGGAGAAGGACAAACATTATATGGTCTCATTCATTTGGGGAATATAAAAAATAGTGACAGGGAATAAGGGGAAAGGAGAAAAAATGAGTGGGAAATATCAGAAAGGGAGACAGAACATGAGAGACTCCTAACTCTGGGAAACGAACTAGGGGTGGGGGAAGGGGAGGTGGGCAGAGGGTGGGGGTGACTGGGTGACGGGAACTGAGGGGGGGACTTGACGGGATGAGCACTGGGTGTCATGCTATATGCTGGCAAATTGAACTCCAATAAAAAATAAATTTATAAAAAAATAAAAAAATAAAAAATAAAAAATAAAAAATAAAATGAAACGGACCAGGGTGAGGACAACCGGTGCCAAAGATGCCTGAGCCTCACAGAGGGTGAGAAAGACCTTAAGCCTTGGAGGCAGACCCGGTGGGCGACGCCCTGGGAGCTCCAGGCAGAGGCGGAGCGGGGGCGTGGCGGGGGTGGGGAGAGTGGGGGTGGAGGGGGGGTGACGGCCCTAGGCTGTGGGGGTGGGGAAACGGAGGCGGTGGGTGGCGGTGTAGGCGGGGACTTGCTAAGGAGGGGAAGGCGGGAGTGGGCGGAGCTGGACAGGGGGCGGGGCCGCGGTGGGCGGGGCCAGGGCGGGGCCGGCAGGTGCGGGCTACGCCGGTTGGGGCGGGGCCGGGCCTGGGGGCGGGGCCGAGCCGGAGGGCGGGGCCAGGGCGGGCCGAGGGCGGGCCGGGGGCGGGGTCGGGCGGCGGTTGGCTGGATCTCACCTGGCGGTTGGCGCCGCCGTTAGTCTCTGGAAGTGAAGCGGGTGCTCCGGTCCTCTCTCCTGCGCGCAGCGGAGAACGGCTCTCTGGTCCCGGTGCGACAGCGCGGGGGAGGCCTGAGCCCCGCCCGGCCCTGCCCGCAGAAGTGGCTTGCAGGTGGGCCTCCAGGTAGAGGGCACGGAAGCGGGCGCAGAAGCCCCTGGAAGGCAGGTTTGAGGCCGCGGCGGCGGGGCACGGCCGATGGACCTGCTGGGACCCCAGTCGAGGACTTTCTTGGCCGGATGGAGAACGAGCCCGTTTATCCATGAAACTGTGCCACGGCGTCGCCGACTGAGCTTCTGGTGAACGTTTTCACCGCTGAGGACAGAAGAGGTTTGCTCCTGCAGACCCCTCACCTCACGGTTTGGGCCTGCTATCTGGGGGGCGAGGAGGGGGAAAGCATGCATCTCCCTAACTGGGGCCCAACAGCTCTCCCACAGTTTTTAGTCCGCAGCTCCGAAGGGTGGCAGTGTGCGAGGACGGCGAGGCTTCGGGGCCCTGCGCACCTGCACCTGCACCTGCACCTGCCGCTGCTCCCTTCCAGGCGCCTCCCTGGTCCCTGTCTTTGGACCCACAGCCCCATTGGTCTCGTCCCTCCTTGGAAGCATGTGTTTTCCTAACTGGTACACTCTGCTTCCTCTCACTCGTTGGAAGCTGGGCTGTTAATTTTGGCCTCTTGAGTCTCTGGAAGGCCACCCTCGTTATTGATCTGTTGTTTCTCTTGAAAGGCGACTGATTGGTAGCTGCTCAGAGAACCCAAGAAGTCTTGGGGAGAGTATCGTAAAGGCTGCAGTAAGGCTGGGCCCTGGCATCTGCTCTGGAGTCTTATCCTCGATAGCTTCCTTCTGACACATAAAGGTAAGGCTCCCACTCAAGTCACACTCGGAGGTGAATTTTGAACCCCATTCCCAGGGGTGGATGGCCCTCTCCTCTTCTCCCTCACTTTGGTGTTTATCTGCCCCACCTTGTCAGCCCCTGCCCCCACAATTTCTCCCAGGGCCTCCCCGAAGTTGTTGTCCCTTGGCAGAGATATACTTCAAGAGCAGAGGATTCATGGTCAGGATGAATTTGGCCTCCTCTTTTCCTTGTCTCTGGCCCCTAGGGTCCATTTGCAGCTCTGTTTCCTTCTAATGTTCTTAGCTCTTCTCCTTCCAACTTGCACTATCTCTCAGTTCACTTCCTCATGTTCTCTGTACCTTCTGCTTTCCCTCATGTGCTGCTTCCTCCCAGCTGGGGCAAGTGGTTTGTCTGTAAGCCGGCCACTGGGCCCACCTTGCTCTCATCCCTGACTTGTTGAAAACTTACTCTGCAGGCCTGTGAAGGATACATGTAGCTCCACTTTTGTATGAATTGTTCAAAGCCCAGAGCAATTCATTAGAATTGGAAACCATAGGGATCCCTGGATGGCTCAGTGGTTTAGCACCTGCCTTCAGCCCAGGGTGTGATCCTGGAGTCCCAGGATCGAGTCCCACATCAGGCTCACTGCAGGAAGCCTGCTCTCCCTCTGCCTGTATCTCTGCCTCTCTGTGTGTGTCTCTCATGAATAGACAAATAAAATCTTAAAAAAAAAAAAAAAGAATTGGAACCATAGTCAGGAGATTCACCCTAGCCATACATATGAGACCTTTTTTCTTGTTATGGTCTTGCCTTCACTTTCTTCTCTTTTTTCTCTCTCATAGGATGCATGCAGCACCTTGGAGACAGGCCCGGGAGCTAAAGTGCTAAGACAAGCCAGGGCCTGGCCACCTGTGGACCACCTGTCTATGCCCATTGCCAAAGACCATCAGGAACAAAGTTGGATTTACTGATTTGCTGCAGTGAGGGAGACTGCATAGGTGTCTAGATGAGTCTAGATGAGTCCTGGGCCATCCCAGTCCGTAGGTGTTACAAGGGACTTATAATAGAACTTGTGTTAAGTACTGTGGGGGCAGTTTCAAGGAAGCAGGAGTTCCTTCTGGATTGGGTGCTTTGAGGAAGCAGGATCAATTCTATGATTGGGTATCTTGATTTTTATATAGAAGCTCAGACAAAGGCAGCAAAGCTAAAGCTGTGTTTGGTAAAAAAAAAAAAAAAAAAAAAAAAGAACTGTCACTTGTGTTAGCTGGCAGTGGGGGACGTTGGGTGGTTTTTGTGGTTTGCACAGTGGCCTTGATTTTGTCTGCCCTCAGACATGACTGTGGAATGGTCCTGTTTCGTCAGACCTCGTCTGATGTTGGTGATCTGTGAGGTTGGCTCTGTTTGGCAGGAGAACTTCATGGTCTACCTGTGAGCACCTGGCTGGTCGGAGCCTGCTGCTGGGAACAACTTTTCTCTTTTTCACTGCAAAGGCAAAGCCTTGACCTTCAAGTCCCAGCCTTCTCTCTATCCTAGTCTCATATCTTCATGGTGGGATAAGGATCATTACATTGGAAGAGGAAGAAGGGATGGATGAGAATAAAGAGAGGGATTTGTGTGGCGGTGGGGGTGAAACAGCAGCTTAGTTTAGAGTATCCCTATGTTGGTCACCTGAAGAGATCTATGGTTCCCTTTATCTGGATATGATGTGATTCCAAATCCATGTTGGCAAGGGAGGTGGGGGAAGCAGGGTGAGGGGAATTAGGATAACATCTCTGTGCAGGTGCCTTCTGAATTGGAGGAAGTTCCTGTAAAGGGGCGGGGAAGGCAATAAGAAATGGCCATTCTTAGTACAGATAAATCCTCACTTAGAAATACAATCCGCTCTCAGAAAACATTGGTGGTATGATCACACACCCCAATCTTCTGGTACATCCCTGCTTTTAAAAAGTGTTACAACTATTCTATTGCCTGGGATATGGTTTTGCTACAAACTATCTTGTTTTATACAAGTTAATTTCTTTTTAGTGAAGGGAATCCATTACTTGTCTGATCCTCTGAGAAGCAGACAGCAAAATGGGATTAGAAGTGCAAGAGATTTATTTGGGGAAACACCTGTGAGGGATCAAGGGTTTGAGGGATCAAGGGTTTGAGTAGCAGGACGGGGGAGGGGGGGCTCTGCAGTATAGGGTCCGCCCCTGCATAAGCAGAGAAGGAGAGAAGGACAGGGTGGGGGAAGGAAGAACCTCAGGCTGCAGGGCAGTTCTGAGAAAATCTTGGCCAGGCCGCTGGGGACTCCCCAGGCTGAAATTCCCCATTAGAGGAGTCCCCTCATTGGGCAGGAGGGGTGTGGCACCGGCGCCCCTGCCGGGCTCAGTCTTTGCCCAGAGGCAGTCAGGGGAAGCCTGGCCCCACTCTGCTCCTTTCCTCCTACTCTCATGCAACCATCTGAGCCCCACCCACCAGGGCCACACATGTCTTCAGTGGGCAGCACCACTTTTTTTTGAGTCATTGAACCAGTTTAAGTCCTCCTGGAAGCAGGGACCAAGATGGGATTAGACATGCAAGAGATTTAATGGGGGGGATGGCCATGAGGATAAAAAAGAGAAAGGAAGGGGAAAATTTTTTTAAAACTACACAAATGTGGGCAGCTCGGGTGGCTCAGAGGTTTAGCGCCTCCTACAGCCCAGAGGGTGGTCCTGGAGACCCAGGATCGAGTCCCACATTGGGCTCCCGGCATGGAGCCTGCTTCTCCCTCTGCCTGTGTCTCTGCCCCTCTCTCTCTCCTCTCTGTGTATTCTCATGAATAAATCTTTAAAAAAAATAAAACTACATAAATGTGATACAAACTGTATACTGCTGGTGAAGAAATAAATTCACAGAAGAATTTTTTGGTTTTTTTTTTTTTAAGCCTCCATTAATTCACATGTGCTGAATTTGGCTTGGGAAATATGGTTTCTTTATAAGTCACTGAATTTGGAGCATCAGACAAATAGGGTCAATAGGATCTGCCTCCACTATTTTTTGCAAGGCTCTCTTGAAGGGCTTCGCTGGTATCCTCCCTCTCACTGCTTCTCAACTTCTCAGTGATGGGGAGGGGGAGATTTTGTCCCCCAAGAGACATCTGACAACATCTGCAGACATTTGGGCTGTCACAGCTGGAGCCCACACTGCTGGCATCTAGCGGGTGGATATCAGGGATGCTGCTGATGTCGTACAATGCACAGAACAGCGCCCAGAACAAAGGATTACCACCCCAAAAGCCAGTAGTGCTGAGGGTGGGGAAACTCTGCCCTGCCAGTCCTCTTCACCCTCTCACAAGGAAGCCAGCAACATGGGCTTAGTGGGGAGACCCCCAGGGCCTGGAAGTACTCCTCCCTGAATTGATCTCAGCAATAGAGCTGCAAACAGCCAAAGACTTCCTAACAGAAGACTGCACCAGAGCACGCAAGCATTCAGCAGAAGGCCAACCAGAGCCTCCTTTCTATTTAAATAGCAAGTTTTTGTTTAATGAAGGTCCCAGACCCCCAAGAGATTTCCAGAAATGTAACTAAAGCACAGGAAATGCCTTATATAAGTTACAGAAACTCCTAGCAGAGAGGAAAATGCTTGAACACTTGATCCCAAGCAATATGCAGTAACATCTGAGAGATGTACCCACACCTGCCCTGACACTCTGTCAGTTGTACTTAGAATGTAATTTGAAACTTACCCAGCCCATCTTTTTTAAAAAAAAAACAAAACATTTTATATTTATTTATTTATGATAGTCACACACAGAGAGGCAGAGACACAGGCAGAGGGAGAAGCAGGTTCCATGCACCGGGAGCCCGACGTGGGACTCGATCCCGGGTCTCCAGGATCGCGCCCTGGGCCAAAGGCAGGTGCTAAACCACTGCGCCACCCAGGAATCCCCTTACCCAGCCCATCTTGCTGAAAATCGACCGAGTCTGGGGTACCCTCAATAGAAATGGTTCCTATAAATGCTGACTGAAGAACATGGGAGTTCTTTCTCCTTCCAGTTGACCCTAAGTCTTTGTGTGTTGTGTCCCAGCCAATATGCCAAGCAGCACCAAGGGAAATTCCAGGACACAGCAGGTGTTAGGAGCCCTCCGCTGGAAGAATAGAAACCCAGATTCCCATGTCTGTTCACTTAGTCTTTACTAAGGTAAGATGTTAGCACTGAGCACCACAGCTGGGATACAGGTACTGTCCTCCAGTATAGGGCATGGACGTAAAAATGGCAGCACATGGTTGTTTTTTTTTTTTTTTTTTTTTTTTTTTATGGCAGCACATGTTAAGTGTACTTACACCCCTGTCCAGGCTTCACTCACTTCCACCCTGTCATTTGTCCTGGGAGCCTGACTGGACAGGACTGCCTGGACCTACTGCTACCTGCCTTCCACCTGGGTTCACCGGGTGGGAAGGAAGCACTTGCCAAGCTGGTGGGGCCGGCGGCTGGGGCCAGCTGTTCTATTTTCCCAGTCTCCCCTCTGTGCTCTGGGCTGCATTTTCTGTCTGTGGCCCTGTCCCTCTGCACAGAGCTCTCTTCCCATGTGTTCCTGGTCAGCGGCCCCAGAAGCACTGTTTGCCCTCCCACCCTTGGGACCAATCCTACTGCCCTACAGGATAGGATGCTCCCTGCTGTGGCTTGCCTCTGAATCCCCAGCTATCCTTTGCCCCCTTGCTGAGAACGCCCATATTTCTGTAAATACACAAGTCCTCATCATGGTTTGGGGGCTGTGAAAATGACCAAGCAAGCTGCAGCTGTGCAAAATAACCTTAATGATCCATGAGGAAAATTACGATTGACCTTTCAAAAGGTTTGTGAAAGCATGAAAACCCTCTTACTGTCGGTAAGAGAAAAAGTAGTACAAATATAAATACACTAATTTGAAACCTTACAGACATTGAGAATCAAAGTGTTTCTTTGGAAAAGTCTTGCCAGAAGGAGTTTGAACAGTACCTTGCCTGTTCCCAATTCCCATCTGTATTCAGATTTCTCTTCTGGCATTATCACATTTCATTGCTTTGCTGCATTTTCCTCTTTATTGGCCAGTTCCCTGTTTGTTACCCATCTTTGTAAAATGTCCCCTGAGTTCATCAGCAGGAGACAAGGAGGCAACACAACTGCATGCTTTGCTGTCTGTGCATGACCTGAGTAATGGATGTGCAGTGGCCACTCACCCACAGTCTTTGAAAGCGGTGACATGATTGGTCACCGATCATGCTATGTGTGTGCTGTTCACATAGTGATTTCTGGATGAAGAGCTAACAGTCCAACTATACCTTAGCAATCGAAGCTTCATGCAGTTTATCACAGTTAACATACCAGCGTAACTGAAATTGTAACCGTCTTCTTGAGGGCCTAGTGTCATTTAAAATAATTGAAATTACTGATAGTTGAAACTCACATATATCAGAACCGTGCAAAATGAGGGCTGCCCTCCTTCCTTATAGCCCTATGAACCCTGCTTCCTGCTGAGACCATAACTGACACAGTGTGCAACTAACTCTCCGGGTGGAGTGAAAAAAGAAAGCTTCACAGAACACAGCCAGGGTCTGCCAAGATATGCCCTGTGCCTTCTGACTCCAGACCAGCAATCATCTACTCTCCCTTCCAGGCAAGGGCAGGCACAGCACCTTGGGTGTTAACAGCCTTCTTGGTCTGGGCTCTTGAGGAAGAGGGCTGCTCTGGGAGACAAATGACCCAAAAGTCAGGCTAAGATGGCTGTACTTAGGAACTAGGGATTTGTTGAAAAGGAACTAGGGCCTGACCCAGCTGCCCATTAAAAGTAAGCTTCTCTTGTTGAAAGACCCACAGCAACAAGTTTTTGGGAACCAGACGAACCATTTCTTCTTCAAAATCACTTAATTCTTCCTCCTAGCTTCTAGTTCCCCTCCACGGTCAAGTTTTGGTCTGCAGTGGCTCCATGCTACACCTGCAAACTGCTAGTTACTGACCATTTGCCCCTTCTTCCTTAAAGAAGTTTGATTTTATTTGGGGAGTGAAGATAGCTACCTAAAGGGTTGTACTTCTCAGCCTTCCCTGCAGATAGACATTTGACAAAGTTCTGGCCTATGAAATATAAGGAAAAGAGAAGGCTCCTTAAAGGAAGCTGACTGGAACCTCCTTGCCCATGCTCCCATTTTCTTTTACTTGATGCCTGGAATATGAATAATAATGGTCGGTGCTCCAGCAGCCATTGTGGACCATGAGGTGATCTCAAAGATAGAAAGCACACATTATGGTAGAATGGGAAAATAAAAGGAATCTTGAATCCCCTATGACCATAGAGATACCATACCAGCATTGGACTATCTGCCTCCAGATTTCTGTTTTAAGGCTCTGTTATTTGGATTTTTCATTCTATGCAACTAAATCTAATCCTAACTGAATAAACATGCTCAATAAACATGCCCACCTGCTACTGAAATTAACTTACACCAACTCCTTCAAGTTGAACCTCTACTTCCTGTCAAAATCAATAGAGAACAGTAATCAGGGGCACCTGGGTGGCACAGTTGGTTAAGCATCTGCTTTCAGCTCGGGTCATGATTCCGGGGTTTGGGGGCACCCCAGGTGCCTCAGCAGTTTAGCGCCGCCTTCAGCCCAGGGCCTGATCCTGGAGACTCGTGATCGCAATCGAGTCCCACATCAGGCTCCCTGCATGGAGCCTGCTTCTTCCTCTGCCTGTGTCTCTGCCTCTCTCTCTGTGTGTGTGTCTCTCATGAATAAATAAATAAAATCTTTTTAAAAAAATGATTCTGGGGTTCTGGGATCGAGCCCCACGTTGGCCTCCTTCTTCCCCTACCCTGCCCCCAGCTCTTGCTCTCTCAAATAAATAATAAAATATTAAAAAAAAAAAAAAACAGTAACCAAACTTACTTTGGCCAAACTGATTAGTGTGCATGGTACCACTACTCAAGGATTAGAATGGTAGGAAGTTCAGACTGAGGCAGACCAAGGAGGATATTCTGGAGCTGATGGGGTTCTTCCAAAATCCTAACCTAGTAACCAGTGGTTCTCAACCTCTATGGCTTGGAATCACCTAGAGAGCTTCAAATACTCCCCGTGCCTGGTCCCACTCCCCAGAGATTCGGATTTAATTGGTCTATGGTGCAGCCTGGGCATTGGGGTTTCTTTAAGTACCTCAGGTGATTCTAATGTCTGGCCAGGATTAAGAACCACTGACCTAACCTCAACACCTACGCGAATAAGTGAAAAACTGTGTGAACCACTCGCCTGGGGTACAAAATTTAAGGAAGCACCAAAAAAAAAAATTACAAAATTATAATTTTTTAAAAAATCTCAGTAATCATGCTAAATAATATTTGAACGGGAGATTTTTAAAAGTCAAAATGAATGCAGGAAAATCCATGAGGAACAAAGTATCAAGAGTTAAAATAAAAACAAGATCCCAGGACAGGTGTACCCCGTGTTTACAGTCCGCAGGTCTGGACGTTCCTAACCAAGAGCTGTGTGGCCGATCGGCGATGCCCTGCGATTCTCTGGCCCATACCGCCCCCTGCTGCTGGAAACGGGAAGTGCTCGCCGCCCGCCCCGGAGGCATCGCCACCGGGATCCCTGTCCTCGCGCAGAGACATGGTGCCCTCTTGTGGGCAGCCGCCCACTTCAGGAACTTTGAAAAGGCCCGGGTCACCTGCATCCTGCTAGGTTATACCTGAGTAGGATTTTTAAAAGCCTAAAACTGAGGATTGCAAGATCCAGATTTGAGTCTCAGCTTTGCCTCTGGGCCGTCTTGAACAAACCCCATCAGCCTTCTGGGCCTGTTTCTGTTCCTAACGTGGATCTTATTACCTCTTCCCATAATTATTGGATGACGGGAGAGGTGTTGGGTGACAATGCCCAGTGGACATGCAGTTCACAGGAAGCTACTTCCCTCAGCTCACCCCACGGCCATGGAGCAAATGAAACTCATCAATTTATTACTGAAAGCAAGACACTAAAAACAAAATACAGGGAGGAAAAGGTGCTGTGGATGTCTAGATAGTGGGCTGATACCATGACTGATGGGACAAAGAAGACTTCCCCTGGGAAAGGGTCATGCCAGGAGCTGGCCAGCAGCTGCTGGGGGTCACTAGGCCACTTTTCCGATGTTTTATTTCAGGAAAGTTCCAGTACAGGAGGCAAGCATCACAGTGGTGGTAGAAAGCCCAAGGCCCTTGGAATCAGCCCTGGGTTAAATCCTGGCTCTGCCACTTAAGTAATTGTGTGACCCTGAGGGAAGTCATTTAACTTCCCTGAGTCTCAAACTTATTTTTCTACAAAATGGGGATAATAACACATCCTATCCTGGTGGATAAGACTTAAGTCATACAACATAACTTCGAGCGCCTGCACTCTGGTAGGCTCAGCACATTGCAAGCATGGAGCTTTTGTAAGCAGTGGGAAGGAGGGGACACACCGGTTGGGCGGTGTTGGCAACTGTCCTATTGGGCTCCTAGGCCAGCCCCCAGGGTGTGCTGGGGAAGGAAGGGGGTGCAAAGTCTCCAGCAGGTGACCTCTGCTCTTTTCTCCCTCCACTCCTCAGCCCCCAACAGGACTCAGATGTCAGTGCATCCTATCAGTAGATCCACAGCAGGAGGGGTTGGGGGTGAGGGTGTCACCCACTTCCGTGGAGCTGGGGAGGGCATGCTGGATTCCAGCACGGGGAAGCCAGGAGATGGACATCAGGGAAATGGACATCAGGGCGCTAACTTAGGCAACAGCATGTCGGTGGCAATTTCCCAACTTTGATAATGGTGCTGTGCTGATGTAAGGAAACATCCTTGCTCTCTGTCAGTAAATACACCGAAGCATTTAGGGGTAAAGGGGAACCATGTCTGCAATTCACCTTTTAATGGTTAAGGAAAAAAAATAAAAGGATATAGCAATATGGGGAAATGTTACCGTTGGGAACATCTGTATGAAGGGCATCCAGGAATTCTTGCAACTTTTCTACAAGCAGGAAATTACACGATAATAAAAAGTTGTGCAAAGAAAAAAAGCAGCAGCAGTGGGGGGTTCTCTGTCTCCATTCTTTTCTGTCCTGCTGCTGAGAATCCGTTGGTGGTGTGAACTGTGTGTGTGTGTCCGGCTTGCCTTCCCTCTCCTCCCTCTACCCCCTCCCCTCCCCCCTTCCTCCTCCATTTCCCCTCCCCTCCTCCCCCTCCCCCGCCCCTCCCTTCCTCTCCTCCCCTTCCCTCCCCTCCTTCCCCTTCCCTCTTCCCCTCCCATCTCCTCCCCCTCCCTCCCCCTCCCCTCCTCCCTCTCTCTTCTTCCCTCTCCCTTCCCCTCCCCCTCCCATCTCCTCCCCCTCCCTCCCCTCCCCTCCTCCCTCTCTCTTCTTCCCCCTCCCCTCCCCTCCTCCCTCTCTCTTCTTCCCCCTCCCCTCCCCTCCTCCTCTCTCTGTTTCCCCCTTCCCTCCCGTCCTCCCCCTCCTCCCCCTCCCTCCCCTCCCATCCTTCCTCTCCTCCCCTCTCCCCTCCCCTCCCCTCCTCCTCCTCCTCCCCTCCCTCCCCTCCCCTCCTCCCTCTCTCTTCTTCCCCCTCCCCTCCCCTCCTCCCTCTCTCTTCTTCCCCCTCCCCTCCTCTCCTCCCCCTCCTCCCATCCTCCCTCTCTCTTCTTCCCCCTCCCCTCCCCTCCTCCTCTCTCTGTTTCCCCCTTCCCTCCCGTCCTCCCCCTCCTCCCCCTCCCTCCCCTCCCATCCTTCCTCTCCTCCCTCTCTCTCCTTCCCTCTCCCCTCCCCTCCCCTCCCCTCCTCCTCCTCCTCCCCTCCCTCCCCTCCTCTCCTCCCTCTCTCTTCTTCCCTCTCCCCTCCCCTCTCCCCCTCCCCCTCCCCAGAGCTCCCCGCCCGAGGGCCCAGCACCAGCGCAGCCACTCGGGGCCCAGCGGCACCAGCTTTATTTGCACGAGGAGCGGGGGCGGGGGCGAGCCGGGCCACCCCTCCGCCCGGGCCTCCCCCTACACGATGGCGAACTGGCAGATGTAGGGCAGCCTGTCGCGGCAGCGCTTGTCGAACCACTTGCCGTTGGCGGCGCCGGCCAGGGCGGCGCAGTTCTCGGCCTTGCCGCCGTCGGGCTGCGCCGTGATCTCCGTCTCCCAGTTCTTGTAGGCGACGTGGCCGCCGGTCATGTCCACCCACGCGCCCTCGGCCGCCAGGTCGTTGAGGCCCAGCCACGTCTCGGCCTCGGCGCCCGCGCTCTGGCGCAGGTAGTCGTGGAGCGCGTCGTTCTCGGAGCCCGACTGCGGGGTGCCCAGCGTGCCCCCGCGCGAGATGCAGTCCTCGCTCGCCTCGTGGAAGGTCTTGGGCTGCGTGAAGGCCAGGAAGCACTTCCTGTGCACCTTGGTGCCCTTCAGGCAGACTGCGGGGGGGGGGGACGGCCGTCACGCGGGGTCCGGGGGGACCCCCACCCCAGGCCCCCGACGGCCCCTCCCCGCCCCCCAGCCTTGGGCTGCGACGGACGCCGAGGCCCAGCCCAGATCCCTCGGCCCCTGGGCTGCGCAGGCCGTGCAGGTGCAGCCACAAGCTCAAGGCCACGCCCCTCCCTCCCGGTGCAGCAGGCCAGGCCGTGCAGGTGCAGGTGCCGCCGCAAGCTCAAGGCCACGCCCCTCCCCGCGCTGCATCCAGGGCCTGGGGCATGTGGCAGCGTAGAGACAGGTCATCTCTGCCTGAGGCAGGGCAATTCTGAAGGGCCCTGCCAGCTCGGGAGGCCCTGAGCGTGTCCAGAGAATCAGCAGCCCTGTGGGGTGGGGGTGGGGAAACTGCCAGAGCCATGGACTCTGTGGGGGGAAATCCCCACCACATCACCTCACCTCAAGGGGCTCTGCCCAAGCACGAAGCTTAGACGGGAAGAGACACCTTCAGCGTGCCCTGCAATCTCCCCCCAACCTTCCTCTCTGCAGAGGAGGAGACTGGCACCCAGAATGGCACTGTGCTTCTGAAAAACATTCCCTTTGTGGCAGGTACTGCTGGTTGACTCAGTCAACAACTGTTCTCAACCCCCTTCTCTCAACCCCCTTGTCTGCCTCCACTACAGAGGCTGGGTAAGCTTCATTTTTGCATCCAAGCTACAGGTGGTCATATGATAGAGCTTTGATCAATAAGGTGGAAATGGAAGACTTTCACTCGCCTGATGATTGGCCGGGCCACCTTTTCTCCTACCTCTTGCTTTGCATGCACTCATGATGTCTGCAGCCAGGGCAGTCATCTTGGGACCATGAGGCAAGGCTTCTGAACAAAAACCTAACAGCTACCCTCTTTCAGACTCACTTTTTGTTTAAGCTACTGTTAGGTGTTCTATTTACTTGAAGCAAAAGCATGGTGGACGCTTCCCCTCTAGAGCCCCTTCACCCTACCTGCTATATTAAGCAGGTTGTACAAAATCATGTGTTTGTCCTCCCTTCAACAAAAATTTCCCGAGTGTTGATATGCGGTAGGCGAGGTGGTGGGAGAGAAGGCAATCAAACGGGGCCCCCATGTTCCTGGGCTTATCACCTACAGGGGAGGCAGACATACATCACCAAAGGAATCTATCGTTACAAACTGCAATAAATATGATGAAGGAAAGAACATCATTTTGTGAGAGTTATAACTGGGGACCCTGATTGAGACAAGGAAGTCCTGAGACAGGGGCATCTGGGTGGCTCAGTGGTTGAGCCTTTGGCTCAGGGCGTGATCCTGGGGTCCCAGGATCAAGTCCTGCATCGGGCTCCCTGTAGGGAGCCTTCCTCCTCCTCTGCCTGTGTCTGCCTCTCATGAATAATAAACAAAATATATTTTTTTAATAAAAGTCTTGAGACAGTGATGATGCTAGAGGTGTGCATATTAGATGGATCTTGGGGGAGCCATTCAAGCTGCCAGAACAGCAGGTACAAAGGCCCTGTGGTAGAGGGGACAGAGTATGGCACGTTAGAGGGAGAGAAGGATGGCCAGTGTGCCTGGTGAAAGAAAGACCTGGGTGGGAAGAAGCGGGTGCAGACTGCCCAGTGAGAAGGATCTGGAGGTCGAGGGAGGGCCCAAAGCTCAGGATATGCTGTCAGAGAAGCAACAGCGGAGAGGATGGCTGTGAGCACAGGGAGATTTATAGATTGCCCAGGAAGGGGCCCAGGCGGGGCCCAGGAAGATAACTGGAGAGGAAGCATCTACAGAGCTAAGAGCAAGACTCTGCTCCTTTGGGCTGTTAGCAAGAGACTCAGTTTCCTGGTGGAAAATGGAGGTGGGGTTATAGCAATAAGCCCACTGCATGGGTTTTCTGGGAAGAAAATTAAAAATTAATATACATAAAGCCCTTGGAGCAGTGCCAGGCTCACGTGTTATCTTTTTTTTTTTTTTTTAGTGTTATCTATTATTGTCAATCTGTATTCTCTGTGTTCCCCGGGGCAGAGGAGTGGGTGAGTCTGAGATGCTATGGTGGAGAGAGAGAGATTAGGTGGCCCCGGAGGAGACCCGACCTTGCCCCCAGGCTCTGCAGCTGTGTGACCATGTCCATCTTTGCTTATCCTATTAGTGCAGGGCCGGGAAGACCGAAACCCACCTCTCCTCACACCCAGCATGCGCCCGCTGCTCCCGCTCAGATCCTAATCTGCACTAACCAGCCGGGTGAGCGTGGGCAAGGAAAAGGACCGCTCCGTGCCTCAGTTTCCCCCATTTAAAGTAAGTATGAGAAGCCCTGCCTCGGCATAATTAGGATGATTAAGAGTAACAGCATCCACAAATTTGCTGACACACAGGGGAGCGAAGCTAACGTGCCCCTTAGGGCTGCGGGGGCTGGCGGAGTGGAGGGTCCTGTGGGAGCTCATTAGGAAGGCTGCTGCCCCTGCTCCAGGCTGCTCCTGGGGCCATGCTTCCGGTAGGCGCTAAGGCAGCCTTGTGGGAGAGTCTCTGTCCTTGGAGAACATTCCCAGTTGCACACACATCAGGGGATCTGGCGGAGAGGAAGCAGGCTGAGGAGGGGGCTCCCTGAACCCGGAATCTGGGCCTACGGGGCTGGCCCGACAGCCAGGGCCCTGGTACTGGCTGGAAGCTGCAAGCACACTCACTGCGGCTGCCCTGGCCCAAGCCCTACTCTGGTGCACTGCCGTCCACACTCACCTGTCTGCAGGGCCTGCTGCTCCTTCAGCAGAGCCACCTCCTGGGCCAGGCTGTCCACCTGGCTCTTGAGCTCCTCAAACATCTTGGGGATCACAGCATCTAGGACAGAGACAATCTCAAACACATGAAGAAGGCAGTAGGGATGGGGCAGGGCAAGGACGGGGTAGGATAAACTGCCCTCCATCAACCACCCAAGGGGACAAGGGAAAGGATACCCCTAGACCTTGCTATCTTGGTCTACTTTCTTTCTGTCCCTGCTGGTGACAGTCTAAGTAACTGCTTGTGATTTTCCATCTGCTGAGAAACGTATCCTTCACTTGGTCTGACTCAAGTGAAACCCATCCACGTGTTTAGAAGAACTGCTGGGGGTCGGATGGGGTTGGGGTTGGAAGGGGCCGGGAGTGCCCCGCCCCCCCAACCACCCTCCCAGCTCCAGGGGAGAGCAAAGCATAGGAAGCAGAGCCAGATGCCCTTGAGACCTGCCAAGTTCACCTCCCTAGGCTGGAGCAACAGAGCATGGACAGGGAGGGCAGGTGCTCCAGCCCAGGGCTGAGCGTGGCACCACAGGTGCCCGAGTGCTTCGGCTCTGAGGTCACAAGGATGTGAGTGACCCGGGGCAAGTTGCTCCGCCTCCCTGAAGTCAGTTTCCTCATCTGTGAAATGGGTTGATAAGAGCCCCACCTCAGGGGCACCTGGGTGGCTCAGTGGTTGAACGGCCGCCTTCAGCTCAGGTCGTGATCCTGGAGCCCTGAGATGGAGTCCCACATTGGGCTCCCTGTGGGGAGCCTGCTTCTCCCTCTGCCTGTGTCTCTTGTCTCTCTCTCTGTGTGTCTCTCATTAATAAATAAATTAATAAATTAATTTAATTAAATACAAAGAGCCCCACCTGAGAGGACTCTGAAGCAGAGAGAGGTCAAGCGTGTGAACAGTGCTTGGCTCACAGTCAACCCATGTGACCCGTGTAATGCACCCCTCCTGTAGCACCACTTCACAAGCAGGAAACCGAAGCCAGGATGAAGCGAGTGGCCGAGGATGGCAGAGCCGGCCGCCAGCAGGCCTGTTCCGAAGCCAGGGGCACGTGGCGCCAGGTCTGATCCTCCCCACGCTTGGGACAGCTCGGGAGCACGTTCCTAACGTGAGCCATCCTGAGCATAGAGGCCTGTTGGGAGCTGGTTATGCAGGAGCCAGCAGGGGCAGGGGGGAGGTGTCTCTCTGTGTGTGCAGGCTGAGGGCTCTGTGGGTGGACCCCAGTCTTACTGAAACCCCAAGGGCTTCAGGAAAGACTGCGTGGGGTAGAGGGCGGGGAAGCGCTTCCATGGTCCATTTAGCTGTGCCTGTGTAAGGTCCAAGGTCATGAGCAGTGAGGGCAGAGCCTTTGTCCGCTCATAAGATGCTTTTGCAGGGAAATCTCAAGAAACAAATGCGAGCAAGAAACATGTGTATATGCTGAAATTAGTGATGTAACTTATCAAATATGAAGGAAATAACACCTGGATGAGCAAGCAAAAAAATATATATATATGGTAGGGGGAGGAGGGTTTAGGACTGGCAAACTAGCCTGGCAGGGTTACGTGTGCCTCATGTGCTGGGCCTCTGCCTCTGCAAGCTTGTGGCAGCTCTGTGCCCTGTCATGTGATGCTCCGGCACAGGGTGCCAGGTGAGGTTGTGCAAGTTGCATACAGCACGAAGGTACTCAGCAGAGGGGACGAGTGGGGGCTCATGTCTAGTCCCTAAGCTTTGCCCTGGCTATGCTGAGACAGATCAGAGAAAGGGGTGCCTTTCTACAATTTGGCAACTCAGAGGGGTGCCTTCGTAATTTGCACCGAGGTACCCACGTGTGCAAGGGGCCCTCTGGGGACTGGTCAAGGAGGAAGGCACCAACAGTGCTCCACCCGAGTGTAGGAGTAGGGAATGTCTCTGTAGCTCTGGGCAAGGAGTCAGGAGGCTCTGTGCTACCCCTCTCTGTTTAGGAGCCTCAGATTCCTGATGCATGTTATTGAAAGACTTCCAGGTCTCCCTGTTCTGAGGGCCTGTGACCCCCTGTGAGGCCATCCTGCCCACCTGAGCTGCCCTGGCAGGTGAGGCCACATGGCCACTAGAGCTCCACCCACCTGCGCCTCCCCCACAAGCCTCGCCTCCTGCTGACCCCTATGTAGCCGGCCAGGGTTACACCTCCCACCATGAGCAGATGAGCTCCCAGAAGCACCCAGGGCTGTCCCCTGACCCGGAGGCCAAGGTGGGGGCTTTGCACACAGCCTCACCCTCAGGCACCAAGCAGCCCCAGTGGGTAGCCTCTCTTCTGGACTCCCTCCCCTTGTGTGCTCTGGGTCTACACCCTGATTAGTCCTAGGAGTCTCAATCCTGGCGGGTCCTTGGAGTCACTGGAGATGTGTAGAAGAGGCAGATGCTGCCCGGGCCCCTGACCCCAGATCCAGCCTTTCCAGCAGGACCAGCCTTCTGGATTGTGATGTACTCCCAAGATGGTGCTGGTGCCTGAGTGAGAACCATCGAGGTTCTCGGGCCGATTTGCACCTTAAGGGCACAGTGGTGTCCCTTTGCTAGGCTGCTCAGCGCATATATCGGCCCTTCTGCAGGGAAGCAGTCTAGAAGCATCTGTTGTGTATGTGGACAGTGGGTGGAAGGAAGAAAACCCAGGGCAAGTCAGAGAACACTGAAGTGGGCTCCAGTGAAAGGTCAGGGCTGGACAGAAGGCTCCACCGGCATTGTCAGCTGTTCTGCAGGCCTCAGGGCCCAGGGTCTCCAGGGGCCACCTCCACGGAAAGCGCCTGGGGCCAGGCTCGAGCGTCACAGCTGCAGAGGGCCAAGCCACCATCTGGTCTGACCTCTTTTTTCACATGCTTTAATAAATGATTTGAATGGTTAAATAAATCTCTGGTACTTGAGAAATTAGCAACTATTTTCCACATTTAAAAATTCTAGGGGCGCCTGGGTGGCTCAGTCAGTTAGGTGTCTCCCTTTGGCTCAGATCATGATCCTGGGGTCCTGGGATTGAGCCCTGCGTTGGGCTCCCTGCTCAGGGGGGAGTCTGCTTCTCCTCTCCCTCTGCCTGCCACTCCCCTTGCTTGTTCTTTTTCTCTGACAAATAAATACAAAAAATATTTTTTTAAAAAATCCTATAATTTGCCTTTGGAATTGTGCCTCCCCTACAAAGAACCTCCCTAGGTGGCAATTTTAGCAAATGCTTGTGGACACAATTGTGCGTGATATTGACTCTTTTTAATGAAAATTTTATAGAAGGTAACATCTGCATATAACTTTTTAGAAACCCAAACAGGGGATCCCTGGGTGGCGCAGCAGTTTGGCACCTGCCTTTGGCCCAGGGCGCGATCCTGGAGACCCGGGATCGAATCCCACATCAGGCTCCCGGTGCATGGGGCCTGCTTCTCCCTCTGCCTGTGTCTCTGCCTCTCTCTCTTTCCCTGTGTGACTATCATAAATAAATAAAAAAAAGGAAAAAAAAAAAAAAAAGAAACCCAAACAGTTCAAAACTTTAGTCTCCTTTCCGATGGAGATTGCCTTCAGCTCCCCAGTTTTTCTTACCAGAGGTTGTCACTGTCACTGACTCTTATGGATCCTTCCAGAAAAAATATCTATGAATATACAAGCAAATGCATATTTGTATATAAGCCCACTTTTCAAAGTAAATGTGGCATCTACATGGTGTCCATTCTGTTTTGGATTTTCTGTCCTTAACTTTATAAACTGAATCTTGGAGGTCATTATCTGTCAACACCGCAGCTGCTCTGTTCTTTGTCACAGCCCTGGGGGTCTCTGCTGTCCTGAGGCACCTTCCCACACTCCACTAGTCCATAGCCTACAGGCAGCTGTCTGTTTACAGAGGAGGCTCAGAGAGGGGCCTGAGGGCAGCCCACGCCCCCTTGCCCTGCCTTTTCCAGGCTCTTGGCTCTGGCCACCCTTTTCTCTGCCTAAATCCACATTCTCATCCCCTGGAACTCTCTCTCGGAGCCTCGGAGCCCTGTGGGGGTGACAACCCGGTTCATTGCCATGGCATTTCACTCATGTTGTCTCAACACACCCTGGGGTGACCTCACCCCAGGCAGGGCTCCAAGGGCAGGCTCTGCAGCAGCCAAGGCAACCCAAGGACACCCCAAACCCAGAGGCAACAGAGGGAGTGCAAACCCGCTTCTGGCATCCTGGTTTGGGGTTCCTCTATTTCTGTTTTCTCAAGGTTGTGTGATACGCTGTCACACAGAGAATTAACTGGGTCCCTTCTTCCCCTGTGCATTGGGGATATCACAAGTGCCAGGCACCACGTTGGGCACTTGCATGTTTTGTAGCATTAAATCCTAACCAGAAGCTTTTCAGCAAAAGCCACTATCCCCATTTTATAATGGAGTAACCCCAGGCTTGGAGGTTACAAAGCAGAGCCCCTTGGCACTGCCAAACCCAAGGTTTCATTTCTTTAACATATTTGGGGGGTGAAGATGGGGAGAGTGGGTATGGGTTTAGATGATCTGGAAAGTTCTTTCCCACTCCAAGAATCAGTGATCCTTACAATTCTCACAACTGCCCCTGGTACCGGAGAACTCTCCCAGGCTTCGGGGGAACTTCCCTGAAGTTCCCTGGACTTATCAAGAAGGAAAATGAAGGGAAGGAGCATCAGGAGCAGTGAAGGACAGGCTGACCAGCTCTCTGGAAGATGGGGAGGAGCCCTGTCCCCCTCCTTACCTTTCTTGGTATTTACAGCCTTCTTGACCTTGGGGGTAGGCTCCTGGGCGGTGACCTGGGTCAGGAGGGAGAAGAGGCAGAGGAGCAGGTAGGCGCCCCAAAGTTCCATGCTGGTGCACTGGCTGGGGCTGCTGCCTGTTTCGGCCTGGGTCGGAGAGCAGTGGCAGCTGAGGCCTGGCCTGCACGTCTTAAGGCAACAGCCACAGGGTCCTCTGTCCAGGAAACCCTCCCAGACTCGTCTGCGGGCCTGCCAACAAAAGCCTGCAAAGGAGGAAGGCCTGGGAGCGCCTCACTGCCCGGGGAACACCCACCCAGCGTCCTGGCTCTGCCTTCTAATACAGAATCATTGTTTTTTATAGAATTCTGAAAAACACGATCGTTGTCAGAGCTCACATCTGTTGAGCAGTTAGGGTGGGCAGGTGCAGGGGCATGCCCTTCCCTGGCATTAGCTCCCAGAGGCCTCACGCCAGCAACAGGAGGGAAGCTGCTGTCATCCCCTCATTTTACATTTGAGGAAACTGAGGCTCAGAGAGGCTAAGGAACTGGCCCCAGCTCCCCTGGGGCAGCACTGGTATCCGAACTCAAGTGGGGCGACTCCAAAAAGGGTAGACTCCGAGGCCTCTTGACAGCGTGACCTGGGGCTCACTGCCTGATTCTGTAGAATGTTTATTATGATTATTCTGTGGTTCTGTCTCGATACACTTGGTGCATCTTTGGTTAAAAATACCAGGGATTCCTCTCCTTGCTTCATGTTCTGCTTCTCGAGCAACCTATCCTGAAGCAGAGGTGACCACAGTGGGAGAGGTGGGAGCCACGGTGCCCCAGAATGCTATCGAAGGTGAAGCAGGGAGCAAAGACTGTCCTGGCCCAGCAGGGTGGAGGGAGGCAGAGGCCCTGCACGGAGCGTGGGAGTCCAAGCGAGGAGAGGGAGATCCTGCATGGGAGGTGGGGGGTGGCAGGGATGAGGGGTAGGTTGCATACAGGGCACCACCCATCAAATAAGCAGATCTGCTCCAGACAATGGGAGCCAGGCTACTCCTCATCAGAGAAGGGAGGTACAAACATGGAGAGAGAGAAAACTAGAATGAATCACGTGGTGTAGGATTAAAATTAGAGCCATCGGTGTGCAATTGTGGACTTGAACATATAAAGATGAACTTCTAAATTTATTTTTTTAAAGATTTTATTTATTTAAAAAACAAGATTTTATTTATTTATTCATAGAGAGAGAGAGGCAGAGACACAGGCAGAGGGAGAAGCAGGCTCCATGCAGGGAGCCCGATGTGGGACTCGATCCCGGGTCTCCAGGATCACACCCCAGGCTACAGGCAGCGCTAAACCGCTGTGCCACCGGGGCTGCCCTGAACCTCTAAATTTAGATGGAAATGTGCACGCCTGTTCCCTAGCTGTCACTGGGACGACCATGGAGCAACCCCTCCACGGCCCCCAGCCGCCCTAGGGTCCAAGGACTGACTGGCTTCTCAATCCAGCTTCCCAGTAAAAGGAACCAGAGCACCTGGGAGGGAGACGTGCCTGATTCCAGGGCTGGGGCAGGGAAAGTCGAAAAGGAGCCCAGAACAAGTTGCTTTGCCAGAAAGCAGGAGAGTGCTTAAGGGATGATGGGAACACGCCGGTAACTGCACACAGGGGCAAGCTGGGGGAGCGTCCAGGGCTCAAAGGTCAGCAAGGTCATGAAAGCGACAATGACGACAATGACGTGGGCACCCGGAGCACACCCACAGGTAAGCACGCGGATGCTCCGATAATCAGAGGAGGAACGGGGTCTTTTCTGAACCTCATGTTACCTGCCCACGAGACATGTGTCCCTTACAAAGGGAAGAGTGACCTGCAGGGAAGAAGCTGGGCAGACGCTGCTTAATCAATCAAGTGACCCAAGTAAGCATCATGGATCGAGGCGCAGGTGGAAGGCGCGCGGGCCCCCTGGACTCCTGGAGGGAACGCAGCACCACGTCTGTCTGTCGGTCCAGGGATTCCTGCCGCAGAAACGCGGCGGGGGCCCGACTGAGGGCCTTCTACAAAACGCCGGCCCCGGGTTCCTCAAAACTGGCCGGATTGCGACGCAGGGGACTGCTTCAGACTGAAGGAGACAAAGGCACAGAGCGGCAAACACGGCCTGTGATTCTGGACAGCCCCGAACAGAGAAACCCATGGGTCCAAGGAGCTCTTGGCCCTGAGGCGACCCTGCCGCTGTCTCGGTGGGGACTGCGTGCTGTGACCTCGCAGGAGAGCTGCCTGGCCTGGAGGAGACGCACGCTGAGGCCTGGCGCAGACACCCTAACTCCCTGGGGCTTCAGGGGACAAAAGCTCCGTACACTGGAATTGCCAATTTCCTGTGAGCTTAAGATTGTTCGCGAAGAGGATACAGCATTGTGTGACTGGGCTTTTCTTCCAAGGGAGCCTGCCATCAGATTGGTAGGGAGGGATCCTCTGCGGCCTGGCTGGCGGCCTGGGGCACTGCGGGGTGGCGAGTGCCCTTAGTGCCAGGGGGCTCCGCCTTTCCATCCTCCGAGCGCACCGGGCTTTAGGGGGCAGCTGGGCCCTTGTCTCCGGATGCAGCTGGGGGCCGAAGGGCACACATTCTTTTTTTTTTAATTTTTATTTATTTATGATAGTCACAGAGAGAGAGAGAGAGAGAGAGAGAGAGAGAGAGAGAGAGGCAGAGACACAGGCAGAGGGAGAAGCAGGCTCCATGCAGGGACCCCGACGTGGGATTCGATCCCGGGTCTCCAGGATCGCGCCCTGGGCCAAAGGCAGGCGCCAAACCGCTGCGGCACCCAGGGATCCCCCGAAGGGCACACATTCTTAACGGGGAGCCTTGCTTCCTGGAGCTCGGGGTGGGTAGCACATGGCAAGAAAAGGACTTGCGGTTCTCTCTCTCTCTCTTTAAAGATTGTATTTGTTTATTCATGAGAGACGCAGAGAGAGAGGCCGAGACACAGGCAGAGGGAGAAGCAGGCTCCCCAGAGGAGCCTGATAACGCTGACGCCCTGCTCTGGGTGGTCGTGCAGGAGCCACACACGAGCCATGCTGCCTCGGGATGTGCCTGGACCTGTTAGCGTCCCATCAGCTCCTCACCCACTCTGCAGTGTGCCTGGATCCCGGGGGTTCAACAGGAGGGGACCACTGTGCCATCAGGTCTGCAGTGGGGTCTCACAGGACACCTAATGCAGTGGGGCAGGGGCAGGAAGGAAGGCGGCCCCCAGCTGAGGAAGGGCCTCAGAGGGGAGGGGAGGAAGGGAGAGGATGGGAGGGGAGAGGAGGGGAGGGGAGGGGAGGGGAGGAGAGGAGAGGAATGTGGACCGGGCTTCTGGAGCTTCTGGTGGAGGAAACACTGCACATTCTCAATCCTGAACACTAGCGGGAGGGGTGCGGGCGGGGTGGAGGTGGGAAAGCAAGCAAGCTGGAGATGTCGACAGGGCAGATCTAGAAGCCTAAAAACACTCTGGACCCAGGTTGAGAGAATTGAGGCCAAAAAAATAAACCAAGCTAGGAGGGCTGTGATCAGACCCCACTGTGGGGAGAGTGTTGGGGCTGGACTGGGGGGCCCGAGGAGGTAGAAGGGACACATGAGGCCTCTGTCCCCCATTGGCTCCCAAGCAAGGCGGGATCACACTTTCACTGGGAGAGTGCGCCTCTTTCCTATTAACCTGACAAGTGAACTCTCTATTCTCCAGGAAGGAGGCTTTTGTAGAGAGCTTTCTAGTAAGTAGTGAGCAAATATCTTGCAGCTTTTCACAGGTGTGTATGTGCATGTGTGCATGCGTGTGTACATGTGTGCATGTGTGCGTGCACTACACAGAGCTCCTCTACAAGTGATTAGGAGTCACCTGTTACAATGACTTATTATAAAACCAGGGCAGGGGGGATGTCTTTTGGCTTGAGGCTTCCTCAGGTTTAGGCTTGGCACCCAAGGAGGGTCTATACAGCCTGGGTGATATACCGACAGCCCCGAGAGAAAAGTTCATCACACACTTTTTTTTAAAAAATTTTTATTTATTTACTTATTCATGAGAGACACAGAGAGAGGCAGAGACATAGGCAGAGGGAGAAGCAGGCTCCATGCAAGGAGCCCAATGTGGGACTCGATCCCGGGACCCCGTAATAATGCCCTGGGCCGAAGGCAGACGCGAAACCCCCAAGCCACCCAGGCATCCCAACATACACCATCACACACTTTAAACCTGTACCCATCACCAGGGCCTGTAACACACTCAGGATGATGTTTTAAAGGGGAGTCCTGTCTTATGAATAGCATTTGCCCTGAATCCTATTTGTCTGTGTTAAAGGTGCAATTTCATTAAACTTTTTTTGTTTCGTTTAAGATTCTATTTACTTATTCATGAGAGACACACAGAGAGGCAGAGACATAGGCAGAGGGAGAAGCAGGCTCCCTGCGAGAAGCCCAATATGGGACTCAATCCCCAGACCCGGGATCACCTGAACCAAAGGCAGATGCTCAACTGCTGAGCCATCTAGGCATCCCTAAAGGTAAATATTTAAAATATATCACTATTTTGGGGGCACCTGGGTGGCTCAGTTGGATGGACATGCAACTCTTGGTTTCAGCTCAGGTCATGATCTCAGGGTTGTGAGACAGACCTCCCTGATGAGTTGGGCTGTATGCTCAGCAGGGAATCTGCTTGAGATTCTCTCTCCCTCTGCCCCTCCACCGCACCCCCTCACATTCTCCCTCCCTCCCCCACCCCTCTCTCTCAAATAAATAAATAAATCTTTAAGTCTCTAAAATATATCACTATTTTTATAACCCTATTTTGGCATTTCCTCATTTTTTAATTGCTGAAAAAATGCAAGTGGCTCACTGTCTCTCGCCCTCTGTGTCAGAAAGCAGGTTGGAAGCTGCAGTCTGGTATAACCGTCCCTCAACGTGGGATGCCCCTTTCTTTCCATTCAGCCTCTCAGGTGTCCCCCTCCCAGGACCAGCAGCAACCCACTCTGCAAAGGAGCTGACTTGTTGCAAAGATCCCCCGCAGGGAGGCAGGGGGCAGTCCTGGAAGAGGCCCGCAAACATCTGACATTGGCCACTGTGACCTCTCTGTGTGCCCTTCTCCTTTTTCTCCCACGTTCCTCTACAATATGGTTCCCGGACCTTTTTTTAACCTTCTGGAAAATCACCTTTAGACAGAATTCTGCTTATTAAAGTCCTCATTGTGGCAAAGCTCTGGAACAAAGCATGTCCTCAAGGGGCTTGCCTGTAGTCGGAATGCTCACT